CACAACAATGGATATCAACATATCAATGATCGTGAGGATGCTACAAGACCAGACAAGCTTTCTTTGTGCTGTGCAATCAGCCGCAGTGAGTCGGAGTCAACTCAAAGGCAGCTACCAACTGCCTGGGGCTGAGGGGGGGTACATGAGAGCCAACAGAACCCATCTCACTTCTTACAAGGTCACGTGGGTGCCATGAGGCCATGTTGGATGGTGCTAGGGGCTGTAGCCCAGCACCAGGTCCTTAACAAGCCAGGGACCCAGGACCAGGAAGAAAATACACAATGCGCTCCCCACATCTGCAGCTCAGGAAACTATCTACAACCCCTTACTCCAAAGAAGCAGGGAACTCTGGGAAGTGTGGTTAGAGGCTGGCCTTGCTGGGGTGAGGAGGCTGCCCGGGAAGCTCGCAGCTCTACTGCCTCAAGCCATACACCCCATGGCCACCAAAATTTAGCAAGTGAGCATTCTCTACTACTTCGTACTGTAGCTTAGGTGCATCTGAATTTGGCCAAGTCACTCCTCAATGTCACTCTCTTTGTGTTTTGGTGTTTTTTAAACCTTAATGGAATCACTGGGTAACATAAACAGTAAGCACCAGCCTACTGATGAAAAGGTTGGTAGTTCAAAGCCACCCAGAGACACCTCGGAAGAAAGCCCTGGCAATCTGCTTCCCCAAAGTGGAAGCTACCCAAATCCTATGAGGCACCGTTCTACTCTGCAACACAAGGTGTCAGGGTTGACGCTAAGGCAACTGGTGGTGGTGGTGGCTGTCTCCCCCAAATTCTTCTATATGTAGTTGAAAAATTCCTCCGGGTGGAGTTTAGATGGAGTCCCCAAATGGAGCACATGGTTAACATGCTCAGCTGCTAACTGAAAGGTTGGTAAAAGGTGCCTAGGAAGAAATGCCTGGAGATCTATGTCCAAAGAAATCATGATCATCGCAAACCTTAGAGAGCACAGTCTTTAGCGCACATAGGATCACCATGGGTCAGTCAACTGGATGGCAACTGATGGTTCTGGAGCTGAAGTTTTCCTCATTCTTGGTTTCCTTCCATACAGGGAGGCAAGGGAGCTGTGGGTTATTCCTCAGAGAGTAGTACTTCTAATACAACCCCGACCCTCAGCTGGCAAAAACAATTTACAATAACTCAAAGCAAGAACACCCCTCCCTATTCCTTCTTAAAAGCTTGCAGACTTCCAAGACACAATAATTCACCTGGAACCGAAGAGTCAGGAATAGGAGGAGGATATGGAATGTGTGGCATTAACTCTCTGAACAACTGCCTCCTTGGCCATGAGACCAGAAGAACTGGATGGTACTCAGCTACTACTATTGAACATTTTGATCAAAGATTCGGTAAGAGAACCCTGATGATCAAAGGGGAGGAAATACAGAACAGAATTTTAATTTCTCACAGAATCTAGACTTTATGGATGCTGGATGAACCCCTGAAACAACTGCCCTGATATGGGCTTTCCAAGATGATTTTTAAACCTTAATGCAAAAATTAAGCATTCTTAAAACCAAACCTGAGGGGAAGAAAGGGAAAAACAGCAATGAAGC